GTATAGGTGCTTGGAGTGGCTCGGTCGGTATAGGTGCTTGGATAAGCTCAGTTGGTATAGGTGTTTGGAGTGGCTCGGGCGGTATAGGTGCAACAATCTCAGATGTCCTTAGGGTTTGTGTGTTAATGGCCCCGGTATCTCAAATGACCGCAAACGATCTCAAATGTTCTCAATGATCTATAAAATTCGATATGGGACGTTGAGCCCGGTTCCCAGCACACGCTGCTCCCCACGAATAGACTGCAGCACTTGTTTAAGAAAAAAAAAAGAAAAAAAAGAAGGTGAACTGCCAAAAATGGGAAATGAGACCATTTGGCGCGACATTTATTTTGCGGTCTACACGTTTTTTTTTTTTTTTAAACATTTTTCGTGAAAAGATTAAGACCAAACCTGCAGACCCTTAAATTTTCAGCGGATTTGAGTCTTTCTTGTCAGCGCTAAAAAACGCGGAAGTTGGGGTACTTTCTCTGTTGGCCCACACGCCGTACGGCGGTAGAAAACGAATATACAACGAATCAGCGCAGCGTTTATTTCACAGTTTTTTTTTAAATTATTTTTCTAATAATTTTTCTGGAAAGAGCGGAAACTAATCTACAGGATCTGAAAATCTCAGATCTTATGATTAATACTGCGAGCACGAAAAATCGCCAAAGTTGGCGCTTCAAAATTGCAGGACTGGACCCGCCTGCCACACTATGCAACGTTAGGGTTCGGACACACAGGCATATCCTGACGTGCCAGCAGCCTGACGTCGGATACACTTCAAAAGAAAGCAGTCCCCAAAAGCAAACAGGGACCCAATCCACCTGAGCGATTATCTCATCGAGCAATTGGGTATTTCAAAATTTGTGCATGGGTTCAAACCCCGACCCGACCACAACCACTATGAGCAAGCTTCAAATACTAACATTAACATATATTAGTGTGTGGGTGGGGGGGGGTGCATGCGTGGCTGGGCGGCAGGGCGACCCGGTGTGTGCTTGTGTGTGGTCGGGTTTTCTCTTTTTCCGCCGAAAACGCCAGCACCGAAAAAAAGGTCGCCAAAAACGAAAACGAATCGAAAAATAATCAGACAGACGAAAAGAAGGAAAATACAAAAACACAGAAGACGAAAACAAGACTAAAAAAGAAAACTGAAGAATTCGGTGCGCCCCTCCCTCGATTGCCTTCATCCGCCGGCCCGCGTCAAAACTTCAACCCGATTCCGGCGCGCAGCGGAACACCGCCTTCCCCCCACAGCCAATGCTGCTTAAGGGTTAGGATAAAAACAAAATTCCGAAAGAAAAACTATGTTGTGCAGAAAACTAAACTGGACAACTTTTGCCTCAGGCTCACATCGAAATTCTTTGCAATATTAAACATAAAAGACAAATTAAAGAAATTATTTACTTTTTTGAAGTTTTTTTCCTAGGAAGATTCTCACGCCTGGCCGGTCCTGCCCGGGTGGGCACCCGCCGTACACCCCCCGCGCAAAAAAAAAGAACTTTTTTTTTTTTTTTGGTTTTCTGCGCTCTCCCAGAGGACCCCAAATCCGGGCCCATTTCTTTTTTTGCTGCTGTCAAGGGGGGGGAGGAGAGGGGTGTAAATTGGTTTTAAAATTTAAAGGGGCTAAAGGGCTTAAAGGCGGGTGCCTTCGTGTGGTTCTGTAATTTTCTTTTCTATCTCTGATTCTGTGAGGAATTCTAATGTGACCCTCAGCCAAAAGTCGTTTGCATTGCAATTCTACACAACATCTTTGTTTTCCGGATTTCTTTTTTTTTTTTTTTTTTTTTTTTTTTTGCGCTGGGGCTGCCCAGAACCCTGCCCCGGGGTCATGCCCGGCCGGGCACCTGGGCGTGTACCCGGGCATAAGTTGGGTGCCCAGGCGCCCGGAAAAACAGCCTAGCTTTTTTCAAGTTTTTTGAAGTTTTTTTGTTAATTCTTTTTTGCCCCGGACGGGCAAGTGCTCCCAGGGCGCGGCCACTCTCGTAACCTAGTTAACAATTGATTTTATTTATTTACCTATTTATTTTTCAGGAAATATATTAGTTGCTGGAAACCCAGTCTAGCATCCCTTACATAGACAGGCTCACTCAATGCTCTTTTCCCTCCATTATGATCCAGAGACCCTTACAGGCACTTGTGAACAGCATCAACTGACTGTTTGGCACATCTTTAAGGCACTCACTTGCGCATGAAGATCAAGGACAGCACAGGGAAAGGAACACATCATGCATGACGTAAAGGATGTATCCGTAAGTAGAAACAAGAAGAAAAAAAAACTCACAAACACATGCATCTGTGTGTGATTCTGGTTCATATGCATTCAGCAGTTCTGCAGGGGAAACAGAGAGGAGAGAAGGAAAAGGGAGGGAGGGGAGACGAAAGGAGAAAGGTGGAGAGAAAGAAGAAGGAAAAGGAGAAATTAAGCAGAAATTGAATTGCAATCGAATGAAAATTTTGAAATCAAATAACGAAGTGGAATTCAAATTTGAAATTTGTATTCAAATTTGAAATTTGTACTCAAATTTCAAACTGGATTGAGGAGCAAAAACCCGGCGCTAGAATTGATAAACGAGGAAGGTTTATTAAACTTGATTTATTACAAATTGAAATACACCAAACATTGAAATTTGAATTTGAAAAATTGAATTTGACTAAGTTGGCTCGCAGCTCTCCAAATAAGACTCCGCTCCAGCTCTCTCCACACAGGTCATTTCCAGAGCAATGTTACACGCTCCACTACTCTCCAAATGTGCAAAATGAGAATGAATCTTCTGCTAAAAACTGGAAATATACACCGCCATATTCTTTTGTCTTTTGTGCATGTGGTGACTAGTGGAGCGAGGCCCAACGTTACACACTCACTGCCAGACGGTACGCATGAAGACTACGGACTTCGGAAGTCCCTACATACATGCGTACGTGTGAAAGCCCCCCGTGGATAAATCCCAGAATAAGACGAAGCCTGCGGATGAACCCCAAAAGGTGAGGCCACGTCACAGAATACTTTACAAAACACCATAACTTTGAAATTCAAAATTGCCTAGTGCTACCGGATGATGACGGAACACCGTCACTCTCCCACATGCCAGATTGACTTGAACCAAAATTCCTGAAGAGTTTTCAAAATCCCCTAATGATGGTGAAGCTGGACCCTGACAGCTGTCAGCCTGTCGCAGCGATGTCAGACTAAATAAGACACAGGTGAGATGATGCTCTCGTGTCGTGTCGTCTCACATATCCTGTCCTGTCGTCTGCTCCTCACCGGGTCTGAGGTCCTTGGACAGCCATTTCGTTAAAAATAAAATAAAATGGATATTTTATATTTGTTGAACGAAATTGAAACTGGCTCATTTAGCCCAAACAATGCCAATTTGTTTTGCTCCTGAGGGCCCGGCGTTCTTTTGACATTTTTTGGTCCAAAAAAGACGGTTTCGATTTCGTTCAAAAAATATACAATGTCCATTTTAACGAAATGGATGTTCTCTCTTCAAAGTCTCTTGACCATCACGGTACTGTGGCACGTATCATCAACACTCCAACTTTTTCAAAGGTGGCGTTGACATTAACCTTAACCTTAACCTTAAACCACCTGTGACTTCCCAACCTTATTTTAACCTTAAACCACCTGTAAAACTTCCCAGACTTATTTTAACCCTAAACCACAAGGACACGGCCCCAGCAGCCTTGCAGAAAGTTTTTGTTGCCACAAGCAAAACTCGGAGGGGCCGTGTGGCGTGGGGCGCCGTTGAAAAAAAAAATCGGCGGCCTCCGAAATGGTGCGGGTTTCGTGCTGACACCCGCGGGCCGATGTGTGGTGTACTGGTGCTTTAAACCACCCGTATGTTTCCCAGCTATTGTTACGTTGCTGCAACGGTTCAGCACGAATGAATTTAACCTGGAGCGGGCAGGCCCGTACATCCACCCCGTGGCCATTTGGTGTATACCACCGCAGCGTTCAGAGGTACTGGCAGGTGTTTTTTACCCTAACTTTAAGGGCAAGATGGATGGCCTGACCCTAACCTTAACCCTAACCTTAACCTTAGGTACAGCGTGCTACAGAACACATAGCATAGTCACACAAACATATATAAACAACGTTCTCAGCAGAATGGGGATACCCAGACGGAAGTGATGGATCAGCGTCAGATGGTCCGTCACAAGACTTTGTTCGTCGGTGGTACGTAGACAAGCAGCCAGCGGACTGCCCTACGCTGCCACCAGCTGCCGCCTTGGCATTGTTGATAGAATGCCCCCAGCTGCTCTGGCTCTCCCCTGAACGTCAATCTGACGCCAGAATCTGCCCTAGATCCCTTCAATGCTCTTCTGCAGCCAATTCGGTTTACAACTTTGCACAGAATCGGTGCTCTTCTGCAGTGCATCCCGTCCGCAGAGAAACGGTGCTGAATCCACACCATCATCATCATCGTCGATGTCACTGATGATGTCGTTGTCAGCACCATTTCCATCGTCGTAGTCATCATCCTCATCCTCATCCTCATCCTCATCATCATCATCATCATCATCATCATCATCATTGTCATAGTTGTTATCATTACCATCATCATCAGCATTATTGGCAGTGGCCGAGCAGGGGCGATTTCATCGTCATGGCAGTTAGTCATAATGGTGATCAGCAGCAGCAGAAGCAGCAGCAGCTACGGCAGCAACAGCATTATGCTCCTCATATTGATCGCAGTCATTTGGCAGCACAGGGATAGAACATGACGGTCATCAGAAATATGGTGTGAACAAAAAACTTCAAAGCACCAGTAGTGACTGCATGGCATCCACTTCTCTTTCACTGACATCGACTTCAACTGCATGAAAAAGTGCAGTAAGGGTCAACTTCCGGACATCGTCAAGACAGTCCTTAGTGAACTCTCTCCTTCCCGAAGTCGATACGCTATTGGTTTCGAGTCGTTCAACGCATGTCACTAACCCTGCTGCTGATCTTCCTCTTCCTCTTCCTCTCCCTCTTCCCCTCCCACCACCTACTCCTCCTCCCAGGAGGAATCCATTCCTTCCATGTTGCTGTTCTCTCTCTCTCGCTCGTGTTTGCATGGGGACCATGGCGCTGCGTGCTTGAGCATCCTCGGCTCCACCAACCTTCTTTGCACAGAGTCGAATGTGACGCCAGTATCCCCCATTCTTCCCACTGTAAGTTGCGCCGCAGAAATGGCACGAGATTGGAACGTTTCTTCGACGCATGGCCATCCGCTTCTTCTCCTTCCGGATTCGTTCCGCAGACGCTGTTTTCCTGGTCTTTCTTTTGGCATATGGCACAGCCTCCTGGCGATGACACAGATGATGGTGGTGATGCTGGCGATTGAAATCGCAATTACTCCCATTGTTCTGATGATGGTTATCCAGCTCCATGCCATTGCTACATGCGCAAGCGGACGATGATCGTCGAGTGCGCATGGTGGGTCGGTACTTGTCTGAACAATGCACAACGTCAAGAAAGTCCGGTGGGTCTGAAACACCTCCTCCTCCACCTGCCCTCCTTGTTCCTCCCCTAACTCCTCCCCTTACTCCTTTTAGTCCTCCCCTTAATCCTCCCCGTACTCCTCGCCTTCCTCCCGTCCCCCTTTCACCTCCTCTTCCTGCTGCCGCTGACGTGAAGCTGCCTCCCATACTACATCTAGCCCCTTGATTGGGCAAATCACAAAGTAAGGAAGCCATACAATCGATAGCAACCACTTCACTCCCTGTTCTTGTACATGATGACTGCTCGTACATTTCCTCTTCGCAATTCCGCAACTGAATGTCCCAATGCCTCGGCGGTGCTACCTTTACAATTGTCTGTTGTGTCACTCCATCCTCCTCCTCCTTCTCCTCCTCCTCCTCCCCAATCTCACTGCCTGTTGCTTCGTTCACGACAATTTCTTCTCGTCCTGGGACTTCCATCTGTGCCTCTATTACCTCCAGTTCAACTTTCGTATGGCTTTGCTCAGCACATGCCCTGCTTCCCCGACAACAACTCTCACACTTTGCTTGATTGCTTTCTCGATGCCTCTTGCTGTACTGCAACCCCTGCCTTCCGTTGTTGCTGCTATTGGTGGTGTTGTGATTGGTGTCATTGCAGTTCATAAGACCGGGTAGTCGATGTGTACACAATGTCATGCCGTGGTTTCTTGCTTCATGCCGATGATGATGCAGCTGCTGCTGGCGGTGGTGCTGGGCATGCTGTGCAGAGTACTTTCCAGCGTTTCCACCACGTCCCTTGCGCCCCACTCTTTTCGCTTCCTGAAATTCCAGGCAGCTGGCTCCATTGCTGTGGCCGAGAACCAAAGCAGTCCGTACTCTGCCTCTGCACCACAGATCTCTACCTGCTTTGTGGACTTCATGCCTTCTCATTTCTTCCTCTCTGAGAATCCCAACCTTCAATCTGTTCAGATTTCCCATGAAAGAATCCGTGACGATCATTTTGTCACAACTACTTCCCTCCTCTTCCTCCTCCTCCTCCTCCTCCTCCTCCTGCGCCTCCTGCTCCTCCTGCTCCTCCTGCTCCTCCTGTTCCTCTTGCTCCTGCTCCTCCTGCTCCTCCTGCTCCTCGCCGTGCTCCTCCTCTTCTGGATCCTCCTGCTTCTGCTGCTTTTTTTCCTCCTGTACTGCCTCCATGCTGTCAGGGACGAATTCTCCTTCCCTCCTGGTAACCATCCTCACAAACTGCACTTCTTTGCCCTTGTTGCCGACTTTCCAATTCTTGCCATTTTGTCCTTTTTTCCCATAAGCTTCCTTCTTTCGTCCCTGTCCTGTTTGCTTTGCTTCTATCCCCTCGCCCTCGCTTTTTTCTTCCCTCCCTCTATGCTCCTTCTTAGCATGCTCATTGCTTCTGTGCGTCATCCAGATTCTGTCTTCCGCAACTCGGAACTCCTCTCTTCTCAGCTTGAACCCCCCCGGTGCTGCAGGACAAGTTCTCACAGGCCACCTGGCAGGGGCTGCACTGTACTGCAGCTCCCCCATCGATGATACATCCTCCCCCTTACTGCTGAATGGCCCTCCCAAAGTGCTCAAACGCTCACAACACCTGTCACAGACAGTTCTCACAATAACACCATTCCCCATGTTGGAGCCACAATTCATTATGGCTCCGACGCCTCTGTAATTGTTGGTGTCATACTGGTCTGTTGAATTCCAACCTTGCTCGGTCCCAAGCTGCCTCAGCTTCCCCATTCTCACCTCTTCCTCCTCCTCTTCCTCCTCCTCCTCCTCCTCCTCCTCCTCCTCCTCCTTCTCCTCCTCCTCCTGCTCCTCCTCCTCCTGCTCCCCCTCCTCCTTTTCCTCCTCTTCCTCCTCCTCTGCCTCCTCCTCCTGGTGTTCTACAATTCGCTTATTTATACCATTCGGCTTCTCTTCTGACTGTTTCTGTGCTGCATCCGTGTCCGCCTCCTGTTGCTCTTCCTCGCTTGGCTTCTGCTTGCGACGTGCCCAAACCTTTTCAGCCAAGGTTTGCCTCCTAAGGACTGTGTCTCCATTACCCTTGAGCTTGATGGATGAAAATTTTCCCTGCATCTTTTGACATGGAGTGGCAATAACGTCACCGTGGACATCTGTCAACTGGGGCTGTGCTTCTTGCATCTGGTTGTTTTCACGTTGGAAAACATCCTCTCTTCTCGCCCACTGCCAGTTCCTTCTGGGAGTAGCCATAATATCATTGGCCTTTGGGGTATCGCACCTCTCCCCCATGCCGGTCCTCCTCCACAATCTACTACGATCTTCAAATTGACCTTCAGCTTGAATTTCCAGCGTACAGTTCAACTGCCGCACCCTAGCCTTTTGGAAGGAGAAGACGCCGCAATGACCACAGTGATGATGACCCACTCTTCCATGATCTACCAGTTCATTGTTTTCGAACACACCTGATTCTGTCGCCGTTAAGCTTCCCATCTTTCCGTTTGCATCGGGACCTCCGCGGTCATGATATGGCATAGGGTTGGACTCGCCTTGATCCGGTGGAGAGGACAAATCCACATCCATCACAAATTGGCTGTCTTTTGGGGCTGGTTCGGTGAGAAGAGCTTTTGGTGCGAGGACTTGTAACACTCTTCCACACATTGGAATATTACCACCTGGGACTAAGTTCTTTGGGCCTTTCCTTACTGCACAAGCTGGCTGTTGCGGGAACCTGTTCCCTGCACGGCCTTCCATACTATCAGAGCTGTGGTCAGTGCTCACATGCATGCCGGTTTGTCTCTCCCTCGAGCTGGGCTCTGAGGTCTCATGCGTATCGGTCTGCCTCTCCCTCTCCCTCTGTTTCAGTCCCACCTCATTCCCCACCTCATTCTCTCTTAGACAGGTTGTCCTTTTGCGCTTGACAGTTGCAAGTCCTAGGGGATGACCACTACTACAATCTAGTACTTCGTCCTCTCTCACAGCAGCCACGCAAACTACGACACTCTTTCCGACGTCCTGACCCTGTCCTTGCAGAATTGCTTGCTCCTCTGCTGCGCTTGGAGGGAGCTTCGGACAACCGTCTGGCTGGTCTTGTTCGGGACAATAGCCACGACGGTGGGAAAACTTCTCGTCGCCGAGAATGTGGTCTTGTTCATGAGCAGAAGACGATATAGGGATCTCTTCATGACCCAGTGCCGGCTGACACTGCCCCCCTTCTGCCTCCCGCTCATGAGCAAACCCTTCCCTACTACAAGAGTTCCCATCGTGCTTATTATGATGTGTCTCTGTGCACCCAATCTCCATCTCTGTGGAGCCTTGCATTGCCTCTTTGTCCCCCGCCCCCACATCCATGCATATGTCCATCCCGTCATGCGATTGTCCCAGTTGATGTGGAGGTGGTATGGCTTTTCGTCGTCGCCTGAGCCGGCTACGCCTTCGGCAGCTTGCTCTCAAGAGAATGTCAGTTGGCTGGAATGGCAGTAAGCGACTGCAGCAGGTGAGTTTGGACAAATCGGGGTCATTCTGCTTGCCAGTGGAATTCGCCTCTATAGATTCTCCTGAAGCCTGCGTGTTCGCTCCCCCAACCCCTGTTGACCCTGTGCCAACTCCCGTTCCATCCGAGCGACTGTCATGGTTCCCAGGACTATTGTCCTGCTTCTTGCAGTCTGCGAATGCGAACCTGGCCCCTGGTCCCCGGGCAACAGCTTCGGAAGCACGTGATGCGTTCGATAGTATGCCTGCTGCCGTGACAGCCGACCAACAACACGACAGACGTCCGTTATTGTACGACGACCTCATACATGCTAGTGGTTGCAATCCTCCGCAGACTTCCTGCTCCGGTGATCGCCGTCCACTCCCTGTGTCTTCCCTGCCGAAGATGTTTCTAGCATGTGTGGGACCAGCAGTGCTCACTGGATCGGACTCGGGAGCACAGCGGGCGGCATCTAGACAATCGTTCTGAACATCCCCTTCATCTGGACTTCGAGCGTCGTAAGTGAGGGATCGTGCTCTCTCTTTTCCTTGCCTTCTCCGCGGACAAAGGTCATTAAGGAATTGTTTTCTGCCACTACGCCTTAGCCGCAAACGCTGATGCCTGACACCACTCTTGCTCAGGGACCTGTAGTAGTCTGTTTCATCCCATCCAACATTTAGTTGCATTGCCACCATTCCTGCTACAGGCATTGACGTTTCCCGTTTATTCCCATAATCACTGGTGGTGAAACCATCATCGTGATGATGCATGCTGCTCCTTGAGCAGTGAGTATGTTAGACTGACCTCCTAACCGTTCTTCAGCTACGCCCGTGCACTTTTCAGTTGGTGACATCAAGAGGAGTGCAGCCTGTAGCAGCTGCACACACTGGCTGGAATGCCAGATACCCTTCCCCAAACCTGCTTACACCTCTCCTCCTCCTCTCAGACCTACTCCTTTTCCTCCTCCTCCTCTTCCTCCCAGACCTAGTCCTTTTCCTTCTCCTCCTCGTCCTCATATACCTTCTCCTTTTCCTTCTCCTCCTCCTCCTCCTCCTCCTAGTCCAACTCCTTTTTGTTCTGCTCCTCCTCCTCCTCCTTTTCCTCCTTCTAGACCTACTCCTCCTTTTCCTTCTCCTCCTCCTAGACCTACTCCTCTTCCTTCTGCTCCTCCTCCTCCTCCTGTGCGAACTCTTTTTCCTTTTCCTCCTCCTCCTCCTCCTCCTCCTCCTCCTCCTACTACTACTACTACTACTACTAGACCTCCTCCTCCTTTTCCTTTTCCTTTTCTTTCTCCTCCTCCTCCTCCTCTTCCTCCTCCTCCTCCTCCTCCTCTCTTTCCTCCCCTCTCCTTGTCGGTTTTGTCGATCACGGCAGCTTCCACGCGTACTTGGACTGTCATCCGTTTATTCTGTCAAACAGAAGTGCATTGTCTAGGATAAACCCGGACGCCAATTTCAGGACCCAGACTCCTGTCAAGTGTGCCTCTCTTTCTCAGATCTTTACAAGATTGGCCTCAAATCACAATAGCAAGCCGTGTGCTTGCTGGTGTCTTCCGTATTCAAATGGGCATGCATCTGACCTGCATCGGCAGTCACAGTCGCCTAGTTCCCTGATCATTGGCTCCCAATGGTTCTCCAACCAAATCAATCCAGCTGGCCGTGTCCATGCTATGCTGTCATTCAATCCACCGTTCGATTAGCTTTCCTGAGGGCATGCTAATTAAATCACAGCACAAACATACACAGATTCAAATTACTACCGTGCCCTTCCACCTATTGGCTGCACCACAAGCATCTCAAGCTGTGTGTAGCAATGACAACCAGTACCATAGATTCAAATTACACATCTGCCGTTCCGTCTTTTCTTTTCGAGTTAAATAACATGGAGATAAGTTTGGAGAACTCAAAAAAAAAAAAAAAACATGGAGACGACTGTAAGGGACGTGGGCAGGGCAAGAAATCCCCTGTAACGTGCTCTAAGTCATCGATGACAGACTTTTCCTCGTCAGTGTCATCACGTGTGTCTCATCAGTCGGCTTTTTTCCTCTCCAAAAACCTGTGGTCGATTGGTTCTCCATTCCTTTTGTCTTTTTAAAAAACATAAATACAGAAAATAGTAAAATACTCTTGAATCCTAGGCTACCTCGCTCACCCGACGGTACAGGACGGCCATGCACCCCAGGCAAGTCGCCCGGGGGTAACCTGCACGAGGCACCCCGTGCCAGCAAAAATCAGCCCTTTATTTTCTTTGTTTGTGTTTTTTTTTCAGGTGGAGGTTTTCTGCACATGGCCAGAGGAGCACAAATCTGTGCTCCTTTCTTTTTTCGACTGTTGGCTGTCAAGTGGGGGGGAAGGGCGGGGATAAATTGTTTTTTTAAGGGCTAAAGGGGCTTAAAGAGGGGTGCCCTACTCTGATTCTGCTGTTTTCATTTTTATCTTCCATTCCGTGAGGAATTCTACTGCGACCGTCAGCCAAATGCAATCAGACTCGCTTTCATTCACACTTCTCATGCATGTAAACTGGTTGTCTAGCAAGCCGGCAACGAGCGCCCACTCAGAACTCAGAGATATGGCAAACAAGAACACAGTTCAGATACAACTCGCTTTAGATGGCTATGGCGGCTCAGCGCCTGTACAACTCTCTGTTNCTCCTCCTCCTCCTCCTCCTCCTCCTCCTCCTCCTCCTCCTTTTCCTTCTCCTCCTCCTTATCCTAGGCCTACTCCTTTTCCTCCTCCTTTTCGCCCACCTCCTCGTGCTCTGTGTGTTCTTACTATCATAGAATACAGTCAACGAACCTGATCTTGAATCTCAACATCTTGTCAATGAGCAATCTGGTCACTAGGATAAACCCGGACGCCAATTTCAGGACCCAGACTCCTGTCAAGTGTGCCTCTCTTTCTCAGATCTTTACAAGATTGGCCTCAAATCACAATAGCAAGCCGTGTGCTTGCTGGTGTCTTCCGTATTCAAATGGGCATGCATCTGACCTGCATCGGCAGTCACAGTCGCCTAGTTCCCTGATCATTGGCTCCCAATGGTTCTCCAACCAAATCAATCCAGCTGGCCGTGTCCATGCTATGCTGTCATTCAATCCACCGTTCGATTAGCTTTCCTGAGGGCATGCTAATTAAATCACAGCACAAACATACACAGATTCAAATTACTACCGTGCCCTTCCACCTATTGGCTGCACCACAAGCATCTCAAGCTGTGTGTAGCAATGACAACCAGTACCATAGATTCAAATTACACATCTGCCGTTCCGTCTTTTCTTTTCGAGTTAAATAACATGGAGATAAGTTTGGAGAACTCAAAAAAAAAAAAAAAACATGGAGACGACTGTAAGGGACGTGGGCAGGGCAAGAAATCCCCTGTAACGTGCTCTAAGTCATCGATGACAGACTTTTCCTCGTCAGTGTCATCACGTGTGTCTCATCAGTCGGCTTTTTTCCTCTCCAAAAACCTGTGGTCGATTGGTTCTCCATTCCTTTTGTCTTTTTAAAAAACATAAATACAGAAAATAGTAAAATACTCTTGAATCCTAGGCTACCTCGCTCACCCGACGGTACAGGACGGCCATGCACCCCAGGCAAGTCGCCCGGGGGTAACCTGCACGAGGCACCCCGTGCCAGCAAAAATCAGCCCTTTATTTTCTTTGTTTGTGTTTTTTTTTCAGGTGGAGGTTTTCTGCACATGGCCAGAGGAGCACAAATCTGTGCTCCTTTCTTTTTTCGACTGTTGGCTGTCAAGTGGGGGGGAAGGGCGGGGATAAATTGTTTTTTTAAGGGCTAAAGGGGCTTAAAGAGGGGTGCCCTACTCTGATTCTGCTGTTTTCATTTTTATCTTCCATTCCGTGAGGAATTCTACTGCGACCGTCAGCCAAATGCAATCAGACTCGCTTTCATTCACACTTCTCATGCATGTAAACTGGTTGTCTAGCAAGCCGGCAACGAGCGCCCACTCAGAACTCAGAGATATGGCAAACAAGAACACAGTTCAGATACAACTCGCTTTAGATGGCTATGGCGGCTCAGCGCCTGTACAACTCTCTGTTCGCTCTCACAGGATCACCCTGGATATCCCACACGCGATACTCTGTACACACATACACACACACACGGGGTACACTCTACCTACAGCTATGGCGGCTATGGCCGCTACTACCCTATCGCTATGGCTAAGCTCCTTCTCTCGCCCACTTCGTCTTCGTGCTCACTGCAGACCACCTCGCACAAGTCGCTGTGGCAGCGCTTCCGCATGGCTTACGCAGAAATGAATGAATGGCTGGGCGCTGCCTCTTGCTTTATACTTCTGTATCTCGTTGGTCTGCCCTTTTCCCATGCCCGTGGTGCACACAGTCCCATGCGGTACTTGCTTGACTGGACTAGGACTGACTGGGACTGGGATACTGCTGACTCAGCACGGGTAGACTCCACCACTTGCCCACTTGCCTCAGCCTAAACGTGAGCAACTTCGAAAGGCCACTACTAGGACCTTCCAGAAGTCTGGGTCCTGGCCTTTCGAAGACTGTAGCAGCTACGACCTTGACCTTTCAGGACTGTAGCAGCTACGACCTTGACCCTTCGGAAGTTCAACAGCTACGACTTCTAGAACTCCCTAAGACTTATACCCGACAGATCTACAGATCGAACCCCTACACCTACAGTCCCTACGACAGACTACCACTTCTGCAAACACACAGGCCACGTGTTCAACTCTCAGGGTCGACACAGGTACTGTACACAGGTATGGTGAGGACTGGGGATCGAGCCTTGGGATCTGCATTCGCTACTGCTAATAGGTGAAAACCGTTTCACAAAAGTCGTTTCTATTGCAATTCTACGTAACATATTCTTTTTCTGTCTTTTTTTTTTTTTTTTTTTTTCCCTTTGGCGCTGGGGCTGCCGGGGACCCAGCAAGGGGTTCATGCCCGGGCGGGGGTCTGGGCGTGTATCCGGGTACAAGTGGGTTGCCCGAGTGCCCGGACAAACTGCCTAGCTCAAATCTCTATTTTTAATATTTATGTGTGTCATCCTTGCACAGGGGTCCTGCTCCTCTTCTCTATATCGTTCCAATTTTAACGGATGTTCTTCCTTTTTTGTTGAATCAATAGAAGCGAACTCTGCACCTGTGTGGCGGAACAGTACACACAATGTCACACATGTAGTAAACTATTAGGAAACAGATCATGAGTTCAAAAAAATCCCGATGCAGTCAGATGGATACATTAAGGTTAGGGGCTTATCCTCCTTTGAAAAAAAAGAAGAAAAGAAAAGTTTAGCAGACGAGTAACACATCTCCAGCAACTTACCAATATCAAGAAGCGGAGGAGGAGGAAAGGACGCAAAATTCGCAAATGGTGCTGGTGCGAACTCAGTGTCGTTCAGAGTGGGGCTCAATTGCGAACCATTCTAGCTCACTGTCATTGAGCGCAGGACTTTCTACCCATGTATATAAACGTGAACTGCACACCAGGTGCAGTTCTAGTTTGTATCCGATGTAAAAAAGACTGAAAACTGCCCCAAATACAGCCATAATGTCTGGTGCAATGCATCCTTCCTGTGAATACAGCTGCACCTGCCTATGTGAACAATCTTTACACATCTCACGTTGTGTGTCTCTGCTCAACTACTGTCTTTCACCTCAATTCATCGCAGCTGCATCTAGACTGGAAATTGCCCCAAATGCAGCCATAATGACTGTGCGTTCTATCCACTCCAGCCAGTCGTGCAGGGTTCAGGGGTTAGCCGCGTTCAGACCAGACCACTTTCTTCACCCCCCTAATTCCCTGCCCAGCAGTAGTTTTTTATTTTGCCCAAATTTTTTTGCCCAACATTAGTTGCCGCAGGCTTACGATCCCTTCTTTCCCCAAACATACCACCCCAAAATCATGAACGTATACAAAGTATTACAAAGTTATAATACAAACCCTATTCCTGCCCAAATACATTGCGATGCTGGGGCATTGCGGTTGGGGAAAGAAGGAGCCCTCAGAAATGTCTATGGCTAGAAGCAAAAGGGAATTTTGAATCACTTGACTCATTTGAGGGTTAAAAAACAAAAAGGGGGATTTGGCAGTTCCACCCCCCTCCTTTGCACAAAGCACAAGCCCGAGGAGCCTTTCTTATTTCCCCCCTTTTTTTTGTGGTATTCTACTCATCTCCTTGCAGTGGAGTTCGAACTCCGCACCTGGTCTGTATTTCAACAGTTCAGATCAGTTCAGTTCAGGGGTGTACTACCAACTGAGCTAGTAGGCCCAGTTGGTACTCAGGCCCAGGGATCCTTACTCCATGCACCACACACACTTTTTTCTTCCAGCATCCCGTGAGATGCAGGTGCAAGTGCTCCGTGCTGTCACTCGTGTTTAAAATATCTACACCGACCTCCTCTTGCTCTTCTTAGAAATATTGGCAGTGGGAGATGTCAATGCTTCGCACTCAATCGCTTGCATCTGCATTTCACTGCGTGCTCGAAGAAAAAAAACGCACGTGT